TTGTGAAACTGTCATGAATTGTAAACTCTTGCAACCCTGATTTACTTATCTATAAATGAAGATGACATTTGCCTTATAAAATGACTGTAAGGCTTACCACTCTGCCTAGCACATGGTTAAGTATCTGTAAAGGGTAGTTTTAACTAATTAATTAAGTGATTATTTGTTTTTGTGCCAGGGATTGAATTCAGGGCCTTGTGCTTGAGCGGCAAGCATGGTGCCACTGAGCTGAATCCCCGGCCCAGTTTTAAATTTATTTTTGAATGAGATGTCAGGCACTCTGAACCAGCTCTCAGGTTAGGGAAAACTTCTTCACAGATTATTTTTTTGGAGAATGTAATGAAAGCTATGAACTAGCACTATAAAAATGTAACATAAGCCACACATATAGCATTACATTTTCTAATATTCACATTTTTAGAAGATGAACTGAACTTTAACAATAAATTTTACTCAACCAAATATAAAAATAGAATTGCTGCATGTCATCAACCTAAAAACCAAAAAATTATTAATTTTTTCAAAATGTCTTTGAAGTCTGTGTATCTTATATTTCCAACGTATCTCAACTTGGATACTAAAATTTCAGTAAGTGAACTGTAGTCCTACCCAAAGTTGTGTTTAATATAAGTATTATCCTACTTGCATTTAAAATTAGTGAAATTTATATAAAACAAAAAAATAAAGTGTCTCAGTTCCAGTAGCCATATTTCAACTTTCTGATAGCCACATGTGGCTAGGGGCTACTGTTGTGGACAGGACAGGTTTGAGTCTTTCCTTAAATTTTTTTTGCACTTCTCCGATCTCACGAAGTTCACTTTTGCTTTATATGTCCCTGGCCAGGAATTGCTGGTTTCACATTTTAACAGCCAATTCACAATGTAAGAGTCTGCAAGCTACTTTCCATGTGTCTACGGAACAATCACGTTTGCTTGTGAATCAGACTACCATCAGGCAACTTTATAGAAGCAGAAAAGTGGGCTCTTGATTTGGACTTCAGAGAAACAAGCCAAGGATAGAGTGGTCGAATCTCTTTTGGTCACTGCTTTCTATCACCGCCTTCCGGAGTGAGGGCAGGTTTATTTAACCTCAATTTAGGGTAAGCGATTTTCACCTTCATGACAAGCAAACTGCAAAGTTTGCACTTTTCAGAGTATAAAGGTCTCTCCAAGAACCAGCCCCTTTCTATTTTTAGCTAAGGCCACTGCCTGACATCAAGTTTCTGGAGAGAGAAACGCACCCAGCTACAGAACAGATACTCAGAATGCTGAGCCTTTGCCAAGTACTGCGCGAAATCCCGGGACTACTCCCACCGAAACTCCGCCGAGCGATTGTTCTCCGAGGCTGCCCCAATGTGCCCGGCCGAGATCGCCCAGCTCCCAGCACCCTCGCTGGGCCGGGGGCGTGGCCGTTCGTCTTGGGGGGCGTGGCCTCCCGTTCCGGGGCGGGGCCCGGGCGAGAAGGCGGAAGTTCTCTCCTGCCTCCGGACGGCGCGTGACCCGGAGTCACTTGTCTGCGCTAGTCTGAGTCTGAGGCAGCGCCCAACGCGTCCA